CTGGTCGAGACCATACTCCAGCTGGCGATCAGAACAATACTTTCACAAAAACCCCATCATTTGGGTCACATCATGCAAGGGGCAGCTGCCTAGGTACACAATACGGTGCCTAGGCAGACAGACTCCCCTGGGCACCTAGGCGCTGCCTCCGGTCTTTTAATGCATTTTAAAATTAAAGATGCAATTTCCCCAACCAATCAAGATTATAACCACAAACATCAATAACTAATTGAGACTTCAGTCAAGCTGTGAAATTTATTCAATATTAGATTAGAATATGTCTACTAGAGGCCAATATAAATTGCTCGGGTAGAGAAATTGTCTATTTACTATAATAAATAAAAAATTTATTCATTATTACAATCTGTCTACTAGAGACCAACATAAATTGCTCCAGTAGAGAAATAGTCTATTTAGTATTATAATAAAACAAATAGATAAGCCATCAAATACTTCCATACTTGAGTTTTACCGATTCCTGCAGGACCAACCAACTCAGTCAAAGCACCAAAGGGTATTCCTCCGCATAAGGCATCATCCAAACCTTTTAGACGAGTGGGAAGATGGCCACCCAAGTAGTCATTTTTCACATGGTTCTCCATAAGCGATAGTGCCTGGAAAGACAAGAGGAGCATGGTAGCTAGATTACATGGGCGTTGATTGAGTATGCTATCACCTCTGAACCATCGGAATCAAATTAGCTGAAACATAAGAAGGGTACTAAGGATACTAAGGAAAATAATAGCAGATATGAATCATTAAAATCCACCTTTGCACACAATACTTACTGTTTGACAAGGCGGACATGCAATTTCACTGATATGTGATATAGCGGAAGTAACAACATCCATCGCCACATCTAGCAACTCCATTAACTCAAATTCAGTTAAAGACAAAGCATCCTGAGAAAGGAGGGTCAGTTCATGTAACTCTAACAAGAATACTTAATAAATTTGAAACCATAACTCACAAACTTGCTTCTAGAATCCATGGGTCATTAAAATGGCAGCAGTTGAACCATTTCTAGCAGTACAGAGTATTCTAAGGCATATATAGGATATAGATATCAGGGAGTTGCAGTGTACATTTCTGCTTTAAAGTTTGTTTTCCTCTCTGTATATGCACCTCCAAATTAACAAAATGGGACATAAATTTTGTATATAGTTTATTACTTTATTACCTTACCACAGTAGCCCCCACAAAAAAAAAAAACACACCCCAATCCTAAAGTCATGCATATTTTGTCCATTTTATTATATCAATGGTGGGATTTGAGTGTTCACAATTACACTCCAAATTTTCAAATTTAAAAAGTTTTTATTTTTGGGAAATTTAACGAAATACCCAAGAGAGATTATCAACTTAACATTTTACTCAAATATTTTCAATTTAATTTCAAAATTACTCATAAAATAACATATGGTCTTGAGTTGGAATAGTTTCAAAAAGGTAAATTGTTAAATAGTTCATCTTGTGCAGGTATTATCACATTTATTTGAAATTTTGAGGGTGTGTGCACCTTGGTAAGGCACACCTAAAAAATATAATAAATTAAATAAATCTAACAGAAAAAGTGACCAGAACGCCCCCACAAATATTTTACGGGTATTTTGGTTATTTTATTTCTTCTTATTGTTATTTCTTTTATATTTTTGGGTGTGATGGTTAGATGTATACCGCCCTCAAATTTCAAATGAATGTGATTTATAGAAAAAAATTAATTTCACACGACACAACCATTCAATGAGAATTTAAAATTTTGAGTTTTTGGAATTATTCACAATTACACGAATTTCCCTCCAGTAATTTGTTAATAATGAAAAACTTAGCGTAACTTTAATTAATATAAAGGCAACCTATTTTCAAAAATTTCAGGGGCAGAGGTTTCTAAAATCACCATTAAGATGGTGCATGCTAGAATAACCACACACACACACACAAGTAAAAATAGAGAGAGAGAGACAGACAGACAACGAGAGAGGCTGCGAATAAGAGCGGAAAGGATACCACATAAGAAGAATCATTTCAGCTGGCAACTATCACAAGAAGCATTTCCCTAGAAACTATAGCAAATGCAATATTTCAAGTTTACAAGCAATCGCATTTTCTTGAATAGCCATGATACATATCATTTTATAAAACTCATCAAGAGTTCAAGAGAACTCAACGCGCCTTGTGTGTGAGTTAATGCACCTTAAGACGAGAATGTCCCATACAATGATCAAATTCCATCTTACACACTGTGTATCACATTTCTAGATTTTAATAAAAAATCAATTGTTACTTTTGCTAATGGATTTGACTCCATCCACCATCTTATCAGAACCTTCTCTACTGATGCTTTATTAGAGTACATGCTGAACCATAACCCACTATGCATCAACGGTATTGCTACAGCATGCAGAGAATAAAAGAGAGTGCAAGAAAGAGAATCATGGGTAAAGGACAAAATCCAATTCCTCCATCTAGATCTCTGAGATGAGACAATATAGACAAATTAGGATATAAAGAGCCTGAAATGACATAAATATATTGATTCAGAAATGAATGTAAGCATAATCAGGACCTTGCATGACTTGTATAAATAATTTTATGATATATTGAAGTTCCTTCTGCACTCCACCTTATGTGAGAGGATTTTTATCCATCATTCCCAGGTTGCACATGGACAATTGAAGCTTATCTCTTCAGAGTGCCATGCCTAATACATCGACAAGTCGAACTCCACATTTGATGATTCAGGGCTTGATTGCCTTTCTGGTAGTATACTCTCTCACACAGTGCAGTCCAATTCCATTCACTTGGTGCACCAATAATATTCAAAGTTTGAAGTGGTATGTATGATACTCCACTTATCACAAAACATGTCCATAGCACTTATTATGTAAAGTCCCAATTTGGACATTAAGTACTTCATCCAAAATTCCAAATTAATTCCCATTATAACAGACGCCAAAGTTTGATAATTTGCCACTGATCTAATCAGCTTGAGAAAGCAGGAACACCATGGTTCTTACATTTCCAGTGCACTGGATTCTCTCCCGTGTACATAAGATATCTAGCAGTAACCATCTATCACTGGGGCTGCCCAAATGTGAGAAAACAAGAATTTCTTTACCAAGACATCTTTGATGCATCTCAAAATCCTGAACACGGTACCCATATGAGACTTTCAAATATCATGCATAAACTGACTGCCTGATCCAACTGCAAATTTATACATGGTCACTATCATGATATGTAGGCAACATTCCCACAAATTGACAGAAAAAGAACCAAGTCTTCAGTGGCTTCTAATTTTTTAGAAACTTAAGATATTTCACATGCCACGGCTCCATGGCACATCTGCACTGAGAGAAATGCACTCACCTTCTTTAGATTGATTTCCTTCCATACCAAGGAAGGACTTTAATGGTGCATGATCTTTAAAATCTGAATGAGTTTTTGAAACTTTTCTTGAGTGGATTTATGTGCGCAATCGACCAGTAATCACCATATCATCCACCTATGCCAAGACAATAGTTATTCTGCTACTTGAAGTTTCAATAAGCGCAGCATATACACAAGTAGCCTTCTAAAGTGTTCAGACCAACTCTTTCAAAAACTTTCTTAAGCGTATATAATCTAGCATGGGAAGCTTCCACAAACCATGTATATTGGTCTTGGGTAGACATACCAAGTTGGAGGAGTTAGGTGGTTCTAGTAATCCAGTCCCAAATGCAAAAGGACATATGGGACATGTAATTGATGGAGACTCAAACTCTAAATGGCAGAAATGAATAGATGGACTTTATGTTTTATTTTGGCTAAAGTGAGGAATCTCTTAGAACTGGCTACAATTCCTGCAGAAACTCTTTAATCAGCAATCTACCTTTGCATAAGTCAATGGATCCATCTGTACTTAGTTTAAATTTCGGAAGTGATTTGCACGTACAGGATTCTTACCTTTGGCAAAAAGGGACTATAGAAGCCTTTATAAAAGATGCAGGCTCTTTAATTGTGTGAGTGAGGCAATAAAGGATCTATGAGATTTGGACAAGGATGCATACAAAACAAAAAAGCAAACACACCAATTTAAAATTTAAAAATTTGAGAAAAATGTAGCTTATTGGAGTCATAAGCAGAAACAAAGAATCAATGTATTAACCTAGAGGTGCCTTCCCTAATCATCCTATGAACCTAGAAGTGCCTTAATTTATCCTCTGAACCTAGAGATGCCTTCCTGCATGGTGAAGGTATAACATGTGCTTCGGCAGCAGATGTTGCCATCACATCAAAAATTCACTCAATTTAAAAAATCACCATTTGATTTGGAGCCCAGGAGGAGGCTGTTTGGAGCTTGAATAAACATATTCTCTAAATGTAACATAAATAAATAAGAACTTTTCTTCTGCAAATGCCAAAACATATATATCCCGTTGAGTTCAGAAATTGTATGGCTGATTGGATTATAATTAATAAGAACTCACTACAAAGACTTTTGCATTCTTTTATTTGAAAAAGTGTGGCACTGGTCACAACAAGAAGATAAAGATTTTCGTCTTGGGCTTCACCATTTTTCAGAGGTGCAGAGATTTTTCTCTCGGCTACCCAATTTTTCAGAGTTGTATATGGCCATGAAAACCAGGAAGTGCCCAAAGCCATGTTGTGAGTGGGGTTTCTTTTGTAGGAGACAGTGATGGGACTTCCTTTACTTCTTAATCTTCTAACTGTGACTCTAAACCTGCTCATAGGCATGCAAACCTTGGGAGCAAAGAAAACCAAAGGAGGAAAGGAAGGATCCAGCACACATATACAATTAACTGAACTTGCCTCTTGCACCACCATATACAGAACATGTAAAGTGAACATGCAGGAAAAATAAGAACAACTATAAATGCCACCAACAAGCAAGAAACTGAACCCTCCTCCACAATTGCTCAATCTCAATTTTCTTTTTTCTTCTTCATGGGTATAGTTCCACAGGAATTTAAACTTGGGATGCGGTGTCACAATCCAAAACATCTTAACCAATCAAGCCCAGGCTCGATTCATAGCTCAATCTAAACCTTAGCTGGAGGAACCTCACGCTTGAGTTGAGTTCCCCTAGAACAAATTCATGTTCCTATGATCATGCCCAAGTAATTCCTGATAAAAATCGACTCTTTGCCTGCCCCCTCCTCCCAGGTAAGGTGTTTTAACAGATAATATCTAAACCAATTAGCGCACTAGAAAATGTCAAACCCTTCAATATCAGTATTCATGCTGGCTCTTAGAGAGAGGTTTGCACTGCATAGGACTTGTTTTCAGTTCATCAGATTCCGACATCCCAATATTTTGATTAGGCTTGTCTCAAACTGGCATACAACAACTGATTGTCTTCACCCTACACAAATCAAAGGATAGATATCCTTTTGAGAAATGAGCAACTCTATGTACAGTATATACTTATCCTATGAGCGACATCAAATCAGTCTCATCAAATTTCCCTCCCAAAAAGACCTATGGTAATGGTAGCTACCCAGTTTGCAAGGATGTTTAAGTTCCAATTAGGAACTCATTGAATTGGTGCTAAATCCAGAAAAAGAGTCATAAACTTCACAACCCATGAATGGTCATCTGAATCACATATCCATGTAGAAATCACCACGAGATATAGCATAAGAAATAAGGTATGGGATGCTCTCCAACAAGTTAATCGGATAAATGAATGCCCATAAACATAATTTATTTACACATCATTTTGTGAAATACTAAATTTCATACACGAACCAAAAAAAAGGTCCATGAGCATAAACAAAATAAGTCAATCATAGCATCCACATATAAAAATAAAACTGAGCACTCCTCTATCACAAGAAAAAACATGACAGAAGAAAGCGGCATATAGTGAACAAAGCCTTTGACACTAGAAACCCTATAACAAGACATGGTTGGGACAAGTGTCTCTCTTTGGAGGGCCATTTTGGAGCATTTTGGCATATATGCAATTGGGTTATATGATTCCCAAGAGCATCAATCTATATTTGCTTCTATGACAATGCTTAATAGTAACATGACCACCATCAATATTCACTGACATAATTAACAATCAGATCACCAGCGATCAATATTCGAGAACAAGGCTTGGACTTGGGACTCCGCAGGGTCCTGAATCCGAATCGCCTTGAGTCCGAGTCGGTGCAAAAAAGAATAACAAATATAGGAACTGACCGAGTTTGCCGGGTTCCTTACGGACTCAGCACCCTGCCGAGTCTGAGTAACTTCGATGGGTCTGAGTGGACTTGCCCAAGTTTAGAACATTGATAACGATCAATTGCATATAACAGGGGCCATCAAGACCACCACATAATAGGTCATAGCTAAATACCAAAAACTCAACAATGATCTAAAATAACTCCCGGTAAGCTTTCCAAACAACCAACACAATAGTGTGCGCTCATCAGAAGTCACAAATAAATCCCTGAAAAATCCAAATTCCCAGCAATCTATCATCAATGTGAGTTTCCATAAAAACCGTAGGTTTCACCCTTGGGCACTACGAACCACGGATTATCTTGATCCATTGATAACACAACCTTCTTTGTTTTCTTTATTTTTCCTTTTTATTGAATATGTTAACTGTAACCTTCTTAACTTGGTTCACACCAATTTTGATGAAATAACGACCAATAAAACCCATAAAGAAGAAAACTTAAAGTCTCAGGGAAATCAGACTCCATGTATTCTTGTAGACCAATTGGGGAATACGCAGAGAAAATAAATAAATAATAATAATCATAGTGAATGCAATACCTTAGCAGTGAGTATGTTTCGAGCTTGAAAGAGGTTGGCAATGGAGTTGGGGAGACCCATTTGGCTGATGGGCTTCCCAGCCATTATTAGTTTTACTGCATTTTCTTGCCAACCAGGTTTTGGGGGGGTCTTGGCTATTGAACCATTATAAACTGAAACAGACCACGCTTCGGTTGTGTATGGTAAAAAAATAGAATAAAGAACTCAATACTCCAGATGTGTATGGTGCATGATACGTTATAGGTGGTAATTATCAATGTTTTAAAAATCGCCGATCCTATCCAGAATCGGGCGATCTGGTTCGTATATCGGTGATGTTCCTCCAAACGGGATCCGAGGGATTGGGGCTGTTCCAATATGATTTTGACTTTTCAAATGGATAACTTAGGATCCAAGGGATTCTTTCAAATGGATAACTTCGGGGGATTCGGGTGGTTCCAACGTTCTTTTGACACGATACAACCTCGCTTTTGACTTTTCAAATGGATAACTTTTTTTCAAATGGATTAACTTTCTTTTGACTTTTCAAATGGATAACTTAGGATCCGGGGGATTCTTTAAAATGGATAACTCCGGGGGGATTCAGGCGGTTCCAACGTTCTTTTGACACGGTACAACCTCACTTTTGACTTTTCAAATGGATAACTTTTTTCAAATGGATTAATTTTTTTATTGAAAAATAGCACGTTACCTAACCTTTATAGCCCACAAGAACCCCGACAGCCTCTCTCTGCAAGTGTACCCCCCCTGGCTTTGCAAGTGTCCCCTACCCTATGGTCTTAGGCATCATGCATGATAACTCATTTAAAGCCATGTCTTTGACATTGCAAAGTGCTCCATCATCTATTCGATGTTGGACAAATGTTTGTTGTCTATTGCCGTTATCAAAATTAAATTAAGCTTTTTTTATAAAAACTAGAGAAAATATCCTATCATCATTTATTTTTAACTTCTATATCTCATCAAACCCAATAATTGAAAATATTACTTGTAAGCAAAAGGACTCTCATCTTTTCTATCTTTCAACCCCCCAAAACCATTTCGATCATGTATTATTGATATCAATAACTTATGAAATGACTCTCTATATCTCTCTCTCTAAAACTCCATCTCTCTCTCACATCATCGTCTCTCTCTCTTTCAAAACTTCATCTCTTTCTAAAATCCAAACTCCATCTCTCTTTGTCACATCATCGTCTCCCTTTCTTTCAAAACTCCATATCTCTCCTTAAAACTCAAACGCCAAATCTCTCTCTCTCTAAACTTCATCTCTCTCTAAAACCTAAACTCCATCTCTCTCTAAAACCCAAACTCCATCTCTCTCTCACACATAAGAAGGTGTGCTCGTGTTCGAGCTCAATCTAAACCCTTAGCTGGTAAACTCACTGAGAAGCAAAGAGAGAGAGATGAAGTTTTAGAGATAGAGAAATGGAGTTTGAATATGGTGTCATTTTAGTACTTGTTAGGGTTAAAAATTTATGGTCAAAAAGGTCTAGGGGGTTGTAAGATATAAAAGATGGAGACCTTTTGCTTACAAGTAATATTTTTAATTCTTGGGTCTCATGAGATATGGAAGTTAAAAATAAGGTTAAGGAGATATTTTCCCTAAAAACTAACCATTTTATTAGAGATAAGGCATTAGGTTATTGATTAATAGAGATTAAAAAGAAAAAAATAGTACTAACTCATAGGATATTAGAACAACAAAAAATATTATTAATACTAGTTTATTGACCATTAAAAAAAATCCTAGTCTATAGGACATTCTAAGAAAAAAATATAACATTATCCTGAACCACATTGCAAGTATGATAGTTATTTATTTTTCTAATTTTATTATAATATAATTACAAATTTACATTTCTAAATTCTATAATATTATAGATTTATTTATTTGTAAGGGTCAAAAATATAAAAGGTTTCTTGTAAAAAGAAAAAATGAAAGGTTCTTATCAATTTCGCTTTTTCTCACATTTTTTTTCTTATCAAAAAAATAAAAATTTTCTTGGAAAAATAAAATAAAATGAAAGGTTCTTATCAATTCTTTTTCTTGTCAAATTTGTTTTTCTTGTCAACAAAAAAAAAATCCTTGTCAAAAAAAAAGAAAAGAGTTCTTATTGAGAAAAAAAAAAAGAAGTAATACAACAAGTATTTTTTGTCAAAAAAAAAGAGGACATTGCTAAAATATATTCATACAGGAAAAAAACATCTCCATATTCGTATATTGATGATAAAAATGAAAGTTAATAATGTAGTACCCCCACTTCTTATTGGATTCCTAAAAAACAACATTTATAATGAATTTTAATAATTTTTTTGAATTTTTTATAAGGCTTAATCAGACCGATTCGGTCGATTCCCTATCCGGATCGCCGATTCACCGATCCGGATGGATTTATGAAGTGCCCGGTCCGGGCCACCGATCCGTTTTTTAAACCACTGGATGGTACCATGAGTTACCAGAGATTTTTAAATTCACGGACTCGACCGATAATCGACACGGGAATCGGTCAACCGGTGTCGATTCTAACGTAAAACCGCAAATCGCTTGTGTCCAAAAACAAATCGGACGAATTGGATTCTAGCATAAAACCACAAATCGCCCGTGTCTCGAAAAACAACATTTATAATGAATTTTAATAACTTTTTTGGATTTTTTGTAAGGCTTAATCCGACCAATTCGCGATCTGAATAGGTTTTTGAGGTGCCCGATCCGAGCCACCGATTGGTTTTTTAAACCACTGGGTGGTAACCGTGGGTAAATCCTTGGTAACCCACAGACTCGGCGAATTACCATGGACTCAGTCGATAATCGACATGAGAATCGGTCACCCCATGTCGATTCTAGCGAAAAAACGTAAATCGCCCATGTCTCAAAACAAATCGGACAACGTTACTTGACGACGGTCACCCCGTGTCGATTCTAGCTTAAAACCGCAAATCGCTCATGTCTAGAAACATATCGGTGAATCACTACGGACGACGTTACTTGACGACGGTCACGCCGTGTTGATTCTAGCGTAAAACCACAAATTGCCCATGTCTAGAAACAAATCGGCGAATCACCATGGACTCTGACGATAATGGACTTGGCTAATAATTTACACGAGAATCGGTCACCCCGTATCGATTTTAGCATAAAACCACAAATCGTCCGTGTCTATTGATTCTAGGGCAAAATCGCAAATTGCACCACAGACTCGACCGATAATCGACACGAGAATCGGTCACCCCATGTCGATTTTAGCATAAAACCGCAAATCGTCTGTGTCAGTCGATTCTAGTGTAAAAACACAAATCGCACCACGGATTCGGTCGATAATCGACACAAGAAGCGATCATCCCGTATCGATTTTAGTGTAAAACCGCAAATCACCCGTGTCTATCGATTCTAGCGTAAAACCACAAATCTAACCATAGACTCAGTACGAGAATCGGTCACCCCGTGTCGATTTTAGCATAAAACCACAAATCGCCCATCTGTCGATTCTAGTGTAAAACCGTAAATCGCACCACGAACTCGGCCGATAATCGACACAAGAATCGGTCACCCCTTGTTGATTTTAGCGTAAAACCGCAAATCGCCCGTCTGTTGATTCTAGCATAAAACCGCAAAATCGCACCACAGACTCGACCGATAATCGACACGAGAATCGGTCACCCTGTGTCAATTTAGCGTAAAATCGCAAATCGCTCGTCTGTCGATTCTAGTGTAAAACCGCAAATCGCACCACGGACTCGACCGATAATCGGCACGAGAATCGGTCACCCCCATGTTGCAATTCTAGCGTAAAACTGCAAATCACCCGTCTGTCGATTCTAGCGTAAAACCGCAAATCGCACCACGGACTCGATTGATAAACAACAAATCGCACCAAGGCACGAGAGTCGGGAAATGACATTATTGTAAAACCGCAAATCGCCTGTTTGTCGATTCTAGCGTAAAACCGCAAATCGCACCACGGACTCAACCGATAAATCTCAAATTGCACCAAGGCACAACAATCGGGAAATGACGCTATTGTAAAACCGCAAATCGCCCGTGTCGAGAAATGACGTTATTATTACCGCAAATCGCCCGTGTCGAGAAATTACGTTATTATAACCCAAAATCACCCAGAAATGACATTATTATAACTGCAAATCGCACAGAAGTGACGTTATTATAACCGCAAATCGCCCATGTCGATAAATGAGTTATTATAACTGCAAATCGCCCGTGTCGAGAAATGACGTTATTATAACCGCAAATCGCTCGTGTCGGGCAATGACGTTATTATAACCGCAAATCGCCCATGTCGAGCAATGACATTATTATAACCGCAAATCTCCCGTGTCAGAACGTGTCAGGCAATGACGTTATTATAACCGCAAATCGCCCTTGTCGGGGACGTGTCAGGCAATGACGTTATTATAACCACAAATCGCCCGTGTCGAGAAATCAAAACTGCAAATCGC